CTACTATTAATCGTATTCATGAAATAGCTGATCAAATAGAAATTCGTCAAGTAAAATTTATTTTTATGCTAATTTCAAAAATACGCTTATTATAAATGTTAAATTGTATTTTTAGCCTGGTGATGATGAAGAACCACAATTTGAACAACTTCCAGAGGAGTGTGTTCGTGAGGTATTGTTACGATTAGCTGATCATCGTGATCTGGAGCGTTCGGCTCATGCATGGGGAGTAATGGCACGTTTAGTGGATGAATTACGTATTTGGCGTGAGCTATGTCAGTTTCACTTTAGTCCACGTCAAATACAGTCTGTGATTGATAGCTCACCGAATACCAGTAAAGATTGGCAGCTAGTATACCACAAGTTAAGAAAGTAAGTTTATCATATTATAATATTATTTTTATTAATAATATTTCAAGTATTAAATTTATGTAAATACTAAAATATAAATTTAGGTGTTATGGATTACGAGAAGAATATGCTGAAATGATACAACTATGCCGAAATTGTCGATGTTTGTTCTGGCATAGTATTGGCCATCCATGTATTGCAGACACTGATCCTCATTTTATGGAAAAACTTGAGGATGTTGATAAAAATTCATTGTATGTACCCATACCACCGCAAACTTTCCTTAAATTTTTTTCGCTTTAAGATCTTAAATAAAGATAAAGTTTATTAATATTATGTAATCAGAAGTATAATTATAATTTTTCATTTGTACGATTGTATCCCTAGAAATTTCAAATTTATGAAGTAGGTATACTATATTTTATTTAAAAATGTATAAATTAAATGAAATTTTAAAATTGAACACATAATTATAACAAAAGCTGAAAAACAAATCAAAATTAATTTATGTATTTAAATTTAAAAGTTATAAGATAAAAATTATTTTTCTAGAAAATAAATGCACATGATGGTAGGTTATAATATATTGTAATATACTTTTGAAAAGTATATATTTTTGACAATCTTGAAGCACTCAGAGTTCATTATTAAACATTAGGTATAACTTTAAATATACCTAGTTAGATAGGTACTAACTTTACAGTAGTAAAGTATAAAAGTGAAATTAAATTTTTCAATATTTTCCTTTACTTTTTTTCTGTGAAAAATCAACTGATATTTTCTAGTCATATTTGTTTAGTATATTATTATTATGGCTCCTTCCATTTAAATGAGTTAAGTCTTGAAATCAAGATCCAAATAATACACTTAAAAGTTGATATACATTTTAGTTACTAAAAACGAATTGTGTGTACAACAATTTATAAACAAAATGTACAATCATTTCTTACTTGCATTGAGCTGAAAATTAGTATTCAAACTTTGTCTATATTGATTCATTAAACTTAAAATATGGATAATATTAATTAATATTAATTTAACATTTGTCATTTTTACATTTAAAAAAAATATACATTCAATATTTAAATATTATTTTAACTAACTTACTAACTAAACCAAAATTATAATAATAGGTATTATGTTTAAGATACTAAATTAATTTTCAAAATAAAGAATTTTATTTTTATCTTATAGTGGTAAATAATGTAAATAATAAATATTAATGCAAATATAAAATTAAAAAAATACACATTTATAATAATTATAGATGACCTTATTTTTAATAAAATATCAATGTAAAATGTGATTGATATATATATATATTTTAAAACAGACAACTGGTTAACTAGTTAATGATTTATTGAGTCTATGTTCTGATATGTGAAGCATATTTTCTTTTTCATTAAAGAGTCAACATACCAAGGGTGTCTGTAGAAATATATCAAGAGGGTGCATAATATTTTCATTTTTCAATATTTTTTTTCAGTATCCGATTAGTAATAATGGATGGTTCTTGTGACATGTTTTCTTTCATAATATAAGTAGAGATTATACAAATTATTAATGAATTATCAATGTATTTTATATAACTACTTTTATATTATTTTATATTGATTATAATAATTTTCTCAGGAAAAAAGCCAAGGGCAATTCTCCTACTTAGCCACCCACCACCCCTAACAGACACCCTTATAACATTAAATATCTAGGACCTTAAATGTTTCTCAATTACATTATTTAACAATATATAGTTTTATGAATGATTGTTTGTATTTTATTAAAAATATATCTACACACCATTATAGCTATACATTTGGCATAAATATATTTTTGTAGTATTAATATGTAACAAATTATTTATAGTTACTGTACTGTTAAGTATATGATAAAATATACCTATCTAAAATCTCTAAAACAAATTTTTTACATTACTGTTTAAAAGTTAAAAGATATTTTTATTTATAAAATAAAATCCTTTCCATGTAATTTAAAATAAAATATTTGTTTGTTTTATGATTAAAAAAATCATACAGCATATGTTATATATTATAATCAAAATATTATAAGTTAGGGATTAGATCATATTATATGTTATTGGATATTATATTCTGTAATGTTTAAACAATTCATATTATGTTGATATTGTTATATTTATTAAGTATTATGAATTTAACCTTAAATCACCCATACAATTTAACATTTATAAGGAAGAAATTAGAGGGTATCAATCCATATAGGTTTAAACTTGAGGATTCTAGAAATTGAGTGTGCAATATACCTGAAAAATAAACTGATCCATATCAGAGTGATCAAAGCATCTAGTTTTTCTTTTTAAAAATCTTAATTTTATATTTTTAGGATTTTTAGTGTGTTTAAAATTTATAATTTAAATAAATCTTATTAATTCAAAATAGATGTTTAGAAGGCCAAGATTATTTGAAACTTCTTAATTAGTGATTTCAATAAATTCCCCTTTTCCTAATAATTAGATTAGGTATAGTTTATTTAAGTACCTATATACATATTTTATGTTTTACATATATAGTTTGTTAAGTGATATAATTTTTGTTTTTCAATTTCTTTCGAGATTAATTGTTTGTAATGAAACATTTTTATATTTATTGTGTTGTGAAAATGCATTTGATTTGTGACTTGTGATTTTAATTTTAGTTATTATTGTTTGTTGTAGATATGTGATTTATATATATATTAAACGAGTACTTAATTTAGCAGTCATATATTATTTTTATTATGTTAATAGTTGTATATTTTTTATCTTATGATATCTTTTATTTCTTCTTTATTAATTTAGTAACAGTTGCATTAAGTTATTTTTTTAATGGTTTATTTATAGTTAATATTTTGATTGGGACATTTGTAGGTGGTGCAAAATTATCATTACAAGTTTTATTGTTGATTGTATTCAAAAATATTCTTCTAAATATCATAAGGTTTCATATTTTAGTTGTATTATATATTTTTATGTCAACTGTTATATGTTGAAATTGTTTTAAGTATACTTTTGCGTATGTTTAAATTTAAATTTGTCATTATTTGATAAATAAAAACAGATTAATGTAGTTTATGAAATGAAATAAAATGATAATTAATAGAAATTTATTTTGTGCAATACTTTCTTTATAACTTTCAACTGATTAAATCAATTTTTTATAGTTAGTCTTAAAAATATTTGCCTACTAACAAAAATATTAGGTTGTTTGGGAATTATTTAAAGTTATATATAATATCATTCCTTGTTTTATTTAGCACCCAGCAGTATTTGTTCTACACTTATCTGAATAACAATTCTGCTTCATAAGAAATGTTAGGCTTCTTGCTCATTAAAAGTTAAAATTAAGATTTTTAAATGATTCAACATCTTACATAAGTAATATCATGTGTTGACTGTTGATCACCATAAATAAAGAATTGACAACCACTAAGTTAAGGGGTTTGCTAAAAAATGTTTAGAGGAAATAGATGTTAGAAAGTATCATGTAAAAAACCACTGGAAAAGTGAAAAGGTAGGTACACTATTTATAGGCWTTTAGCCTAGAGATATTTTTTTAATTATTAATTTTGATTATTTATATAAGTGTGCTATTATAGTATAATAGGGGCTGAAAATAGTACCTACACTAAGTCTCCGCTCCGAATCGATTTTTGTATGTATTAATTTATTATTGAATTCAAATATAACATAATATCTATTATAACATGCTTGATAACTATTGTACAGCTGAGTGGTGCTAAAACGTTTGCTCAGTTAAAAAACTTGAAATTGTAATACTTACGCTTCTTGTAAGATTTATTAGAAGAAATTTAAAAAAAAAAGTWAAATCTCCAGTAGTTTTTTATTAGCATCTGAAGTTAAATTTTGATAAAATTCATCAAAATCATAAAATTCGTAAATTTTTTTTAAGATTTGAAATTTATTATTTTCTTTGATGTTTTTCTGCATTTAACAAATAAAAAAAAGTTTACTAGAGTCAAATTAATTCTTTACGAGCGTTTGAAGTTTGACTAATGCATTGCATGTTCACCCGTAAATTTACAAATTCACATACGATTTTCTATTTTATTGTATTTCAAAAATTATTAACCGTAGGTACTTGCAATTTTTATCAAATGTTTAATTTATGTTTCTATACGATTTAATACAATTAAATATTTAAGATACTTCTAGACATTGTTTTAAGTTATTTTTAAACATTTTCAATCTTTTGGTTTTTTTGTTTTGCATACTATAAATATCAATTAAATTGTATCATTGGTCAAAAAGCTTATTTTTGGTATTTAAAATTCAAATTTTAATAAAATGTATGTTAAAAAATTATGAAATGTTCAACCCTCCCCCACAACCTGTCCTGTAAATACGTCACTGACCATAGATTCATGACTAAATAGTAAATAGACCTATTAACCTAATAACTCATCTAAAACTATGAAGAGTACCTAAAAATTGTAAAAAAAATTATCCATTGTCTGTAATATTTTATCATAAAGTGTAATGTTATTCTGCATTTTATTTTGTTCTTAAGAGATAAAATGATTGTTATCTTAGACCTCGGCTATGGTAGCCATGGTTGCGGTGGACGTTCTATAAAACTATAACCGTGGTGGTAAATATTAACGCAGCAAGCACTCGTACGGTGTCTTTGTCGAGTCGACATCATCCGATCATCGTGTTGTCCGCGAAGGCGGCCGTGAATTGTGATTCCAGAATTATTCTGGATTTTTGGAGAGTCTGAAACCAGCTGAGTCGTTAATAGAGATTATATATTTACCATTTAACTTATTAAATTGTTGTTATTTTTTATGTCATTATTATAACCACATTAGTTTCTACGCATGCCTGTGCGTAGAAATTGGTGTAGTAATTGACAATTTTTATTACCGATTAGCATGTAAATAGTAAAATTCAACCCAACGGCAGCCTGCAGGCGATCGAGCAATGAGTGACGATGACATTATTGACAGCACAACATACAATAATTCTGTAAATATTACTGTTGTCATCGTCAAGTGACTCGTTAGTCGTTAACTTGTATCTTCTCGTCTCTCGATTTTTCGACGTAGTCTGACATCCGACACGACCGACACTCCGCAACGTCGGCGTTACAGCCGTTTTTGTAATATGTGCTGTGCAGTAACCCGATAAATTTATCGCCGGATGCCGCCATCCGGTCTCCGACGACGTCAAACTTGAAAATATGTGATGTCGCATTGTCGAGTTGGGCGAATGCCAGGTAATTAACGTTTATACCATAAAATTGATTTGTTAGATTTGTTTCGTCTCGCACCTCCTACGTGATTTCGAAATGGTGTACCACGTCTGGGTCAGGTTGACAGGTTGTTTTTTTCCGCATCAGCATGTTTGTTATTAATTATTACGCAATTCGACGAATACTGAATAGAGGAGTACATGCCGTTATAGCGATAAGAATCCAGATCAAACATTTGTACTTATATAGTATATTTTTATTTATCGAAATATTTGAACTTTTCATTTTATTTAGGCTTAAATATGATGTCTCGTTTTCTTAATTGTTATGTACCTATTGCATTTTGGTTGTGCATGATTGACTTTCGTTGCTATGGTTACATCAATTTGTGCCATCGTTGATTCAAAGAAAATTATAAGATTAGGTAGATGCAATAGATTGTTTTGTAGTTTTGTAATTTGTTGTTGTTTGTTACTGAAGGCATGTATTTTTAGTTTGTCTGTACATTAATTCTATGTTTGTATTATTTTATTACTATACTATTTTATTCTGTGATAATTCTAAGGCATTTCTTTCAAGACAATTCTAAGACAATATGTAAATATTACATAATAATATGTTCCTATGTGGTATATTGTAAGATGAAGTTGAAATAAATAAATACAATTTCATCCAAAACTGTAGAATAATTGTTTAAGGTACCACAGAATATAACAATATGATACTACTTTAAGGCTTAAAATATTTAATCCTCATGCAAACTCTCAGTTTTTGAAAGAACTTCTTAAAATGTTAATCAATAGACTCTACTAGATCTGTTGTAATGTCCTTGATATAAGTCTACTATTTATTACTTATTTTTACCTTTCAACGCATAAAAATGTTGAGTATAGCCAATTCATGAAAAACCTCGTGAAGAACCATGTATTTTTTATTATTTATTGTTTCCATTAGTTACAGATAATTGAATAGTTATTATGATTGGGTATACATTTTAATTTAGGCCTGTATTTAATATTTGGTCAAAATAACTCAAATAATTGTGTTAAAAGATTGTGTCACTTACCTACATTTAATGGGGTTTATGAAGGGGTAAATCCATAAGCCTTTAATTTTTTACAGGCAACATTGCGCAGGATCAGCTAGTTTATGTGTATATTTATATTTTTATTGAAACACATATTATGCTAGAAGTATTGCTCTCATAATAATCCATTTAGATTGAAATTGAGTACCTTTTGGTGCATATGTCTTGGTTGTGGAACTAGTCTCTGCCACCTGCATAATTTGATACATTCTTATTTTAAATGAAATATAGCTTTTATTTATATTCAAGTTCATCCATGAACTATTTACTAGTCTCTTTAAACAATAAGTGTTACTACAAACAATTTTGATTCTAAATTAATAACTTAAATTTTTATATTTTTCAGATTAATGTTAATCAAGACTGAACAAAAATGTATGAATATTGAAATAAATTTAGTCATGGCAATTAAATACAATGTTTCCAGAGTTGTATTTTATGTCAAAAACTCAATTCAATACTTTTTAATCTAGTCCTTATAAATAATATACAATTAATACAATATAAGTTATCCATCTACATAGTTATGTGATTGTAAGTGTTTGAATTAACTTWATAATTAATTTTTAAGTTAAATAGTTTTCATATTCACACATAGTATAAAAATGCCCAGAAGACCATTGACAGATGAACAACGAGAACAATCTAGAAAACGTCGATTAGAACGTGATCGTGAACGACAACGAAAAAGACGTTTAGATCCAGAGTTGAGAGCAATTGAACGAGGAAAAAACACAATTGCTAAAAGATTATCTAGATCTAAAGTGCTTAATGGTGATAACATTAATAAATTATATTCAGAAGCTAATATTGATTGTAGTAGAATGACATCAATGTAAGATAAATAAATAAGTTGTTTTTTTTTTACATTTAAACTTTACCTTACTTATTATATAATATTTTTTAGGTTAGATAACGAAGATATTATAGGTTTAAAAGATCTCAATCGATTAAAAAAAGAAAGAGATAAAGAAAGACAACGTCAAAGAAGAATGGATCCTGAATTCCGTGCTAAAGAACGTGCAAGAAATAGAATATTGAAAAGAATTGCTCGACAAAAAAGTTATTATACTTTGGAGGTACAATATTTTGGTTTTTTAATATCAGTAGTATAAAAAGTATTGATAATCTATAATGTTAATAGGATAATTAAGGAAGATTAGTTTAGGTAAATTGAAAATATTCTTAATTTTTCTATTAGCTCATATTCAAACTCTTTTTAGGTCTCAATATTTGTTTCTATTTTAAATTGTCTCCTTAACACTTTAAGAGAATGCCATGTGTTATTTCAGACTAGCAAATTTACGTTGTACCAAATTTGAGTTCAGCGGCCACAGTTTTGTGGTGTAATTAATACTGTAGTGAATTTACCTACTATTAAATATAAAGGTAAGATCGTTATCTGTTTTTTTTATTGGTACCTTTAATTTTAATCCTTTGACTACTGCTGTCACATATACTTTTTTGTTTGTTAATTAAAACATTTTATTTCAAATTAAATAAAGTGTTAAACCCTTTGACTAGTGTTGGCATGTAGGTATACGCAACAGCATCAAATATTGCTGTTATAAATTTGAGGTTGATTTTATTTGAGTCAGTATAGAATGGAAATTTCCACAAAAAAAGTATTTCATTTTAAAGTATATTATGATTAATTAATTATACAACTTAATATAGTACCTACATCCAGATATTAATTATTTTAATGCAGTAGTCAAAATTTTAAAACAAGATGTTAGACAAGTATATGAAATAAAATTTAAAAATGCTCATATATTGTTATAATTAAAAAAATATTTATTTATAAATGGAAAAAACAGATTAATACGATTAAGTTCTTACCTTTAAGTCTGATGATTGATCATTTCATCCTTATACATTCAAACTAAAAATACTAAATTAACATTACTGAATTTTGTTATGTTGTATGACATTGACTACACATTTGGTATGGTATCCTTTTAATGTTTAAAGCTTAAAGGAAGGTACAAATATACATCATAATAAATTTGTTTTCAACAGAAACAATTTTGTAGATATTCATTATATGTTATAAATATACCATTATCTGAAATTGATCGTTTAAAAAATAGTATAACCCAAACTTTTTAAAAATTAGTAAAGCTAGCTAGCCAGACAGTTGGGTTGAAATATAGCTACAAAAGAAAATTTGATTTCTTGTAATCTAAAATATTTAAAAAAAAATTATACTAATATATCTTGAATTAATCAATATATATTCGTAGGTAGTAAATTGTGAATGCTGTGGAGAACCAATAGAAAGTGACCATGTATGTTTTTCCAACATATTATCAGTTGAACTCCACGAAATTGATATTTCCCATAGTACTATAAAAAAGTTATGAATGATGATTATCTTTTTTTTATTTTATCAATATTTAAAATTTTATTTTCTCACAATTTTTTTCAAATTTTCTCAAACATCTTAATTTGAAAGTTGAATCATACTAAAATTACCATTTTGTTTTATGTTTTTGTTTTTATCTTGTCTGAATAACTATTTAGTATGTATTATACAATTAAGTGTGTATTAAGTTTAAATGAAACATTATGTGATATCACACGAAAACCTCACATTATATTTTACAATTAATAGTTAATTGTATCTGAATGTGTGTTATAAATAGATCAACTTTAAATGTTTTTGTTAACAGTACACCATACGTAACTGTTAACTAGAAATTGTAACTAGAAATTTGGACGTTAATAACTTAAAATTAAAATTATTATTATTAAAATTAAATATGCTTAAACAGCTTAACACGTTGACTTTGTTTTGATGCATATTGACATCCATAGAGTTGTTCATTGACACATTCAACTACACCATTTGGCGTCAAACATACATAATGTGATGTAAATTGTTAATTATTTTGTATGTGTAGCTGAAATGTATATGATCATTGCCTAGCATAATTAAATTGATATTTATAAATATGAATTCATGATATTATGCGGTTCAAAACTACAACCATTAAACGTTATAGGCGCAAACATGTTAAATATTTTGTTTAAATTTCTATAGAAATAAAATTTCATACATAAAAAGGTTCTTCTAAATTGAAAGTATTAATATTCATCAAAAGTAAAACAATATCTGTAGATATTCCTAATTTAAAATATTTTTTGATTATCATATTATATTCATATTTGAGTATACTTATTTCGTTATGATGAAAAAATTGCAGTTTAAAAAAAAACTTTGTAAACAAAAAATCAAAATATAAATGTATAATTTGAATGTACTTATTATTTAATGCTTATAGAGATKCTAACAAATACTAATAGTTTAATTTTACCGGCCAAATTTTATAACAAGGTACACAACACCAATTGGTATTATTCACCATATGTAAATGATGTTAAATGAAGCCATTTGGTGTCATCTACAGTACACATGTTAAGAAAAACATGACTTGGATTTATAATTTATTTTCAAATGTTACTTAATGATTTTTATTTTAAATTAAATAATCTATAAAACACTATTTTTAATATATCATTATTACTTTAAATATAATGTCCAAATTCTAGATAATATATCGAAATTATTACATATATAACTATTTCATAGTGATTACAAATAGTAATATTGAAACAAAATATATTGTTTATTATGTGTATTTTATATTTCATTATTGTTTTACATTTTCAATTAAGACATTAATTATCACTACCATAATTAATATTCTTTCACCTTTTATACATTATATTTTTGCTCAGTAATTTTTTACTTATTGTGGTTTAATTCAGATTTATTTTTTACCATTTTGATCTCAATTTTATTTTGACTGTATAATTTATTTATTCATTTATTTTTTTTATGGTATGTTCACATATTATTCAATATTATACAAAATACCACCCCATACATAAAACTTACTTTATTTTTTGTGATCCATATTTACTTGGTCATAAACAGTGCTTTAAGTGGCATAAACAATAAACCAAAAGTTTGCAGAATAATTAGAAAGACAAAGTTGTATTTATACCATAATATACTTACTACTGCACTGTCTGTTTATTATTTAATTTAAAGTTGCAAATTAATGTTTAATCTACTAAAACATTATAATTAATAAATGTTGTTTAAGCGTTGAGAATTATATCAGAATGTGTAAAATAATTACATTATGATGATCCATAAACCATTATGATAAGTAGATAAAAGTAATTTATTTATAACTTCAAATGTTAAAATTATAATTTTTAACTCTTGCATTGAGTATCATTTTTCTAGAAACATGAATAATGTATTTGACTTTTTAGCTCATGTTTCAGAAAAATATTACACAAAACTTTGATCTGTTTTAAAATTTGTACAAAAAGATATATGAAAAGGGAAGACTGTCATTTTATCTTGTGTTAACAATTTGAAGTACCTACCCAAAAATAATTTTGGTTTCATAAAACTTATAATCATGTAGAGTCCACTACCAAACAATGATAAATATTCACTGAAAAAGCTAATAAAAATAAGACATGGAAAACACAGTATTTTCATTGTATTATCATTAGTTATTAAATATAATAAACATACTAATTATAAGTTATTAGTTTTAATCATACTTATACATTTAATAAAAAACCATACAGGGTGATTTTTTTACCGTAGATGAGCCTTGTTTCAATTAATATTTGGGAACTTGATCTAAAATTATTATTTTTGTGTACCATCAACTAGATAAAACTGTACCAATTTATGATTTTAAAACTGCTACCTGTAATTTCAGTTTCAAATTCTGAAAAACGTTGATCAGATATTAGATGACAGTCATTTATTGCAATTAATGTAACTATTGGTTAATAATGAACACATGACAAACATTGATTGATGCATCGTTTATTATTGGATTAACCAATAATGTTGAAATAATTTCAATACAAATTATTAATAATAAACCATAAGTTCATAACCCCTAACCATGTTGTTTATTTGTGTTTGCAATTTTTTTGTATAAATTACAATATCAATCATTAGTCGCTGTTAGACAATCATGAATCGGTACTGTTTTTACTTACTGAATAGAAAAAGAAAATCAACATGTCACAAGTATTAAATTGAAAAAAAGATATTGGCTGATCGACGCTAAGAAAATCACCACTGCTACAATTAACATTTCTTGCACATTTTTATTCATCGGTCATTGGGGATGGTTAATAATTATATATTATACACATCACAAGCTCACGGGCGGCTGAAGACTGTCTATTGGATACTATTTAGCAGGTAATAACCAAATGTATTTGTTTAATGATAATCATCGACATCCATAAATTTATTTAATAAACCCTATCTCACACAATTTGATGACGCTTTCCCTAGTCCCTTCTAAGCTCATTTGAATTTTTTTATTTCGAGTATTTAGTATATAATTAAATTTATTTTGATTTATTCGTTACCTACTTTCCCGTTTCCAAGTTCCTTGTTTCATATCACAATAATATCGAAATTTAATAAAAAATATAAATTTAAGTTCGTTTTTAGAAATTTTATAGAAAATCTTGATTATTGAAATTCGCAAAATATTGATACTTTTAGCTACACATCCAAAATTTAATAAAAATCAATACTAATTTCCATTAGCTGGGAACTACGCGCTATTGACTATATTGATATGTACGTGAACATAAACATTCCGCTATTTATTTTATGCTACAGTCATATAATAAATAATCATAACTTATTTACTGTATTATGCTACGAAATATGACATAAATACACGGTCATACACATTTAGGATATTGCCTATACTGAACTCCTTAAAAATTGTCTGTATCTCCTTTAAAGATCCACACCCACGTGTGTATTGTATTGTTATCGAGTTATAAACTTATAGCATACCGAAAACCAATTTTACTTACGTGGGCATTAACTAGTTAAAAGTTAAAAAGTTGTAAAATAACTTTTTAACTTAACTTGTTTAATTAATAATTGAAATGACTTTTCAATTGATTTAGAAAACAATTCATTTAGTTTTTTGATATTTTCTACGTAAATGTTTATATTAAACTTTTTTTTTTTATTCGATATAAGCAATCTATACAGTTTTGCACAATAAGTTTATATGCTGAGAGTAAATAAAAGACATGAAAGTTTTGAATTAGTGACTCTTGGCTATTGAAATATTACACTAAAAATTAAAATTATCCAATGCTAAAATAATACAAACATTTMTGTTATTTTTCTTGATAAAATTATTTTGTGTTTAGATATATTTTAATAGATTAGATTAAACATAATATTATATGACCTTCTATTTTCTACTTGATATAAAAAATTAATATTCGTTGAAATATTAATTGAGATGTGTAGATATAGTTTAAATATTTAATATTCATGTAAAATAAAAAAAGGTTTATTCACAGTAAAGTGTACATTATGATAAAAGTTCAATGCAAATGTTAATTATATTTAGGAAATAAGAACACAGTTACTCTTAATGTGGATACACGGTAATTAAAAAAATAGTTTAACTTTTTTAAGCCGAGTTCTTCTCAGACTACACATAACCACTGGTCTTAAATCATTTATATATCAAGGTTAATGCGAACAAAACATTTTTCGTGGACTTTTTACTATTTTGGATTCTAATCTCTACACCAATTGTTACAAATCATCTAATGTGATTATTTTTCCGCATTCGATTAGTCGATTATTACAATAAAAACTATAGGTAATTAAAGATTACAAATGGGGGATGTAAAAATAAAATGAAATTATATTGTTAATTATTGAAGTTTAATTAAAAATTAAAATTTTTATCGTTCAATAATGAATATAAGAAATGTTTGAACTATTTGAGCTACATCGAGAGGGTTTGCGAGCTGCGTGTTTGAAATTACTGCACTATACCTACAATGATTTTAAATTCAAATTTCACTCATCAACTACAGTAAATTGTCCACCTTTTTCCACCAATTAGTTTGATGACGCAAGCAAGCGTGTGTGTATTACTATTACTACTTTATTAGCATTACATATTTCGCAGTTAACAAGGTGTCGAAATTCCCTGTTTTTTTTTTTTAATCGCATCTATTAATGGAAATGTGTTATAAAAAATATTAGACTTTGTTCTATTTATGGTTTCTGAAAAAAATGAAACAATAGCTAAAAAAAATGGTTATAGGTAATTTGTCCATAAAATACGTCTTTTTTAACTCTTATAACAACAATAATGATTCAAATAATCTAACACCTACTGTAACATCTCTCTTTTTAGTTTTGTAAATAATAATCTTTTATCGTTTCAACTATTTGGTCTTAACCCACTAACCCCAAAGGAGCAATATATTATTTTATATAAAATCAGAGTGATTATTTTCATTGACGTCACACTATTATAATAATCGTAACATTATTTGTAATAATCATTATAATTAAATTGTGCCGAAAAAAGTAATAATGGCTCAGCTATATCCCTCCCCAATAAATTTTGATTGTTCAATACAGTTTTATAAGATAACTAGTCTTCCTTGGTACTTTAGTAGTAATATTATATCGCTATTAAAGATGTTTTCGTAAACGTAGTTTTAATTTAAATGAATAAAAGTCTTAATAAAGGTAATATTATAATATATACTTGCTGGTCGTTCTTGGTGATTTTCCAAGAATGTTTAGCATCATTTAAAATTACGGAGAAAGTGATGGATGTTTTGATTTCATAATTTGTTTTTTTGCGTGTTTTTCATCATCTATTGGAGCAGTTTATTAGCTTGGTTTTTCATTTTGAAGGTGATTTCAAATTGTATCTATTTGGTACTCTGAAAGTTCAATATTTCCAATGTAAAAAAAAGAGAAACATTAGTTTTTACGCAAAAATAGTTGTTGGTAAGATCGATGATAATGTTACTTAAAACTGAATAAATTGAAAATTTCAGTTATTTATTATTTTTATTAAATACCTAATATTTGTATTTACTTGACATGAAATAATTTTCAAAATATTTTGGCCCTTTTTGTACTGTTTACCCAGGTATTTTATAGTATCGATTTTATAATTTTGGGGTAAAAATGTTTGAACAAAGCGTGAAATCTACAAAGCTTTTCATAAGTTGTTAAATGAAACTATTAAAAATTACTGTAAAAACATTGTTACAATATTAATTACATTATTAAAATAAAACGTACCTACTCGATCTTGAGATCAAATTTTGCACTTGTTCGAATGAAATATATAGTTTAATTAATATTAAAATTTTGAAACTTAAAAAAAAAATGTTTTTTTAAAAGGATCCTATTATATATTATAATTATATAAATGTTTCCCATGGCCCATGCGTTTGTTGTCTCCTTCAAACGTAGAACATAGCAGTTTTTCGTTCACTATGGTTTCAATAAAGTGCTGTTAGTTTTGATTTTAGAATAAATTTACTCATTTCAAACTAGGTAAGAAAATTATTTGTGCTTAAACGTCGGTGATTTTTTGGTATTTTAATTTTCTATTAAGATGGGTATGTGAAATATCAAAAATTAAAACTGTACAATTCTCGCTTGAATATAGGATAATAGCCGACACTTAATCACACATAATGATTTTACCTAAAAGTTTGATAATAGGTCAATTCACT